CTTTCCCTTTCTTAAAGATGGGCACTCCTTCTCTTTCTTAAAGATATTTGCACTGTTGCAGTTATCTGGGACCTCATCCAACTGTCATGAGTTTTCAAACAATGGCCAGCAGCTCTGCAATCCCATCAGCCAACTCCCTCAGCACCCTCATGTGCAATGCATCTGGCCCCATGGACTTGTACTTGTCCAGCTTTTCTACATAGTTCCTAACCTATTCTTTCACTACTGTTAGCTGTTCAGCTCCTCCCCAACATGCTGCCAGGTTCAGTAGTCTGGGAGCTGACTTTGCCTGTGAAGACTGAGGTAAAAAAGGCATTTAGTACTTCAGCCTTTTCTGCATCCTCTGTCACTAGGTTGCCTCCCCCATTCAATAAGGGACCCACACTTTCCCTGATTTTTCTCTTATTGCTGATATACTTGTAGAAACTCTCCTTTTTACCTTCCATATCCTTTGCTAGCTGCAACTCCAGTTGCCCTTTGGCCTTTCTGATTTCATCCCTGAATGCCCAAGCAATACACTTGTACTGCTCCCTAGTCATTTGTTTAAGTCTCCACTTCTTGTAAGCTTCCTTTTTGTGTTTACCTCACTGAAGAGTTCCCTGTTAAGCCAAGCTGGTGTTCTCTCATACTTGCTAGTCTTCCTGCTCATGAGGGCGGTTTGTTCCTGTGCCCTCAGTAAGATTTCTTCAAAGTAAAACCAGCTTTCCTGTCCTCCTTTCCCCTGCAGAGTGGCCTCCCAGGAGATACTAATCATCAGTTCCCTGAGTAAGTCAAAGTCTGTTTTTCTGAAGTCCAGGGTCTTCCTTTCCTTGTGATCTTGAACTCAGTCGTCTTATGGTTGCTGTTGCCCAAGCTTCCATCCACTTCTACATTTCCCACCAATTAATAGCAAATGCCAGGTCTGAAGACTGGCAACATGGAAACCAATGTGGCCACCTTGCTAAGAAATGTCATTACTAGTGAGGAAGCTCAGTAGAAGACACTGCTAATGGTCCAGTTTTAAGAAGTTAAAACAACCATTCTTAATAAATTATTATAATTTTAATTTTAGTATTTAAACACTTAAATTAACTGTATGACACTACAGCAAATATGTAAATTATAAATCCGGAAGAGACGGATCATCCTCATGTTTGGTAACTGGATTTAATTCTGCATCAATTCTAAGTCTGTGTTAAGGTTGGAAGTGACTGAAATTATTTACTTGCAGGTTACAGTCTAGCCTCTGTGGCATGACTTGCAATTACGCTCTGTCCTTATTTGGATTTTGTGCTGTACAAATACTAGACTAGTAGTATCAAGAAATAGTTTTGGAGCTTGATACACATAAAAGCTAGCAGCTCATGATTTTCTGAACATCAGTAAAATGGCCTATGCCAGTAGAATAGTTCTCCCAGGTCTAGAAATGGATCCTTCATGTCAGACACATTGTAGATGTATTTTTTTCCATGGATAGACAGAAAACTCTGGTCTTCAGTGCTGTCAGTGTAAAACTTTTTAAAATAAATGTTACCTTCACTTGAAAATGTAAAAAAGCAAAAGAAAACCGTAGCACTTTTAATCATGTCTGAACATGTCCATAACTCTTTGAACTCTATTAGGCAAGCAGTGGTTAAAGGCTCCCTTCCACATCCTTTTGCTTTGACGTTGTTTGGAGACATGCTGTACTGGACTGACTGGAATACACATTCTATCCTGGCCTGCAACAAGTACTCGGGGGAGGACCTCCACGAAGTACATTCAAACATCTTTTCGCCAATGGACATCCATGCTTTTAACCAGCAGAGGCAGCCAAATGGTAAGCTGCCTTTCCTTGTTTTCTGACTGCAACTTGGAATTGATTTGTAGAAGTCTTTAATACATCTTTCTGTCTAGTAGTGGCAGGAAAGTTAAGGGAGCTGGGTGATGCAATGATTTCCAAAGCAGAAAATTGAGGGGAAGATCCAAAGGGGCACAGAGTATTCTTTATTTTTTTCTTTAACATCCATTAAATGTCTTCCCTTCCTCCTCCACCTCCTCCTCCTCTGGTATAGTGATACCATGTTGTATTATTCCTCTT